GTAAACATTACACATATATAAACATTAAACGGATAAAATTACTTTCTGGTAAATGTTACAATAATAAATTAAAATGTGCACTTGCTGAAAACACTGTAGTTATCCTTTAACCCTTTTCTTACTGGTGCTGTTAATTTAACGGCAGAACTCCACACCATTAAAATTAATAGCACTGGTTTACTTTAGTACAAGTTCATAGTCGATTTAGCAACTAATGTCCGTTCTACACTAATTGTGCTCTGCAGCACAATATAACAGGGAATCAAGTTGAGATGAAGTTGGTAGATTTCTTTAATATTGCTAAAAAAAGAAACTAGCCTGATTTTTAACAGAGCTCCTTTCTCCAGTATACTCACTTATGGGGGTTGATTTATCAAAGGCAAATAGGCAGTTAACTTTGGAAGGGAATTAAGCTTAGTAAATGTGGTTAAAATTCACTTTGCAAAAAATACCCAATCACATGCAAGGAAAATAAAAAGTACATGATTGGATAATGGAAGTCAGCAGCACTTCACCTAATTTACTAAGCTATGGGAAAATTTGCTTGCAAAGTGAAAAGCCTATTAGCCTTTAGTAAATCAATCCTATGGTCTCCTATCTTTGGAACTTTTGCCTTACACCTTCTTTTAAACATTGCAAAAGCCCCTCTACATGTAAACATAATGGAGTAATAGATGCACTGGAATCTATTTCATTTCCTTTAGCTGTATTTGTAGATAAGCCCAACCTAACATTACTTGCTGGATAACTCATATGCTCCAAACAAATCTGAAGCTCTCTGCTGATCCATTGCTATTCTGCAATACACTGAGAAAACCTAAAGCATAAGATCCATGTTAGTCCAGAGTCGACTTTCAAAAATAATAACATCATATATTTTAAAATATAAACAGTAAATCATCAATGCAGAACTTAACATATTACAATAAATGTCACACATTTCACTACAGTACATTAGGAATTAAAGGAGAACTATGGGGTAAACTAGTTCTCTTTTATGGTGACAAATAGCACCTTGCGCCAAACCCTGTGTAGCTGCAAGCACTATAAGAAGTGTTAACCTCTGAATATATCAAATTATAATGAATGTGCTGCACTTCATCTAGAACAATACTTAAACAAATCTCTATAGTAAATATGTGCTTAAATAATACAAGCAATTTTGATTGCATGTATTATTTAAGCACATATTTACTATAGAGATTTGTTTATGTATTGTTCTAGATGAAGCACAGCACATTCATTACAATTTGATATAATTCTCTTTTATGGTATGGAGTCAACTTTTTATCCCATAGTTCTCTTTAAGGTCACGGGAGGACATTTACTTACCTTCTTCAGTGACTCAAAGCTCAGTATATAGCGGTCCATTGCCTGCTATATACTGAGAGCGCCGCAGCTGGGACGGATCCCGACAATACTGTTGAGATCCACCCAGCTGGCTGATTAAGAGCATGCTCTTCTCAGTTTCAATGTCACACGTCGGCTATAACTATGAGGATCAGTGTAAATCACTCACCTCATAGTTCTCCTATAATGAAAAACCACATATATCTATACATAGACATTAGTTCAATTTAAAGAGTTGTTCATTGTGGGTAAAACCATGTAATTGAATTCAACTTTTATAAGCAGAAAACCAGTGTTCAGAAATAAGAATGTGCCACCGAGTATGGCAAAACTCCCTCCACTTGATCTCTTGTACAGGTAATTTCTCTGATAACATATCTTTTGAGCAGGTTATAGGTATTCATGCATGCAGTGTTATACATGTATTTCAACATACCAGTACCAAGTATTCTTTCTATTTTTATGCTGGAGTTATCCAATTCTTTGGCAAACAAGTGAACAGCTTGCATGGGGTCCTCACACGTGTCTGGATCTATGTAAGTTCTTCTTGTTGGTATTTTGACTGCAATCAGAAATATTGAAAAAAAATAGCATGAATAATGAGTGACCCTATAATGGGAGTACTTTGCATAAGGTTCAAAAAAGAAGCTCGGCAATCCTGCTCGATACCTCTGTGATATTGAGTAGAATAGAAAAATAGTTAAAAAAGTAGAAAAAAAACAATAGAAAATGATATAGTGAATAGCCCATACAGCAGCCCTTCGGTTCTACTGAATGAAGGGGTCCTGGGGCCGAAGCTAGCCGAAGGATCAGCTGAAGCTACGGCTAGATCATTCGGCAGCTTAGTGAATAGACCCCAATGTTTTTGTCCTTCTTATGATAAATCTTTCTTTATTTACAGAATTTAAAATGTAAGTGTACAATGCGTTACCAATTTGCCTCTTGTAGAACCCTGTCCATTTAAATGAATGCCTCACTGCTAACTGAAGTACATTCTCCACCCTTAATGACTTACTGGACCTGTCCCTGGAAACTTTTTTGAAATATTGGCAACTATGGTTTAGTGATTTTGTAAAAATGCATATTCCAAATTTAAATGTATTTTAGTTTTAGATACCTGTGACTGTTGGACATTTTTGCTTTTTGAAAATTTTAGATGTTTACTGTATTTTTTTATTCTCTCACTTTATTTCTATGCTGTCCAGCCAACTTCACTTTTTTCCTTCTCTGTCCCTAATAGCATCACAGGTACATTGAGCTCTTAACATGTGTACAATGTTTAGCTTTCCTGCTTATTCCACATTGAACATCATATGCTTACGAGTTCTTTACCTGGAAAGCAGTGAAGCCTGTATAGAACTTTTACAATTAAAGGGTTATTCCACCTTCCCAGGTGAATTTTAGAAAATAGAATTAACCCCACCAATCTGCCCCCTCTCCTCCCTCCCGCGCTGCTCTTACCTTTGAATGGGCACTCCTTCCCCTCCACGGCTGCTGGTGTACAACTCACACACTGCACACAACAGTGTAGCCCTATGCAAGCATTCTTGGTCAATGCAGCCACACGGCCTATGCAGACCAGAAGTACTTCTCATTGGTCAACATGGCCAGAAGCGCTTCTTATTGGTCAGCATGTGGTCAGGTGGTCAGTGTGCCACTGCCAGAACACCCAAACAACGACTGCAGCTAATTTGCTGCAGGTACTGTTTGGCCACGATTTTCTGGACTCGCTCCTACTGTTTGGCCATCTTAAGACTGTTCAGAATGATTGCTAACACAATCTCCTGGTGTAATCAGTACTAGCTTGGCATTCAGTAAGTGTGATACAATAATTGCAGTTATCTGATATAATTAGGCGATAGATGTAAACATTACACATATATAAACATTAAACGGATAAAATTACTTTCTGGTAAATGTTACAATAATAAATTAAAATGTGCACTTGCTGAAAACACTGTAGTTATCCTTTAACCCTTTTCTTACTGGTGCTGTTAATTTAACGGCAGAACTCCACACCATTAAAATTAATAGCACTGGTTTACTTTAGTACAAGTTCATAGTCGATTTAGCAACTAATGTCCGTTCTACACTAATTGTGCTCTGCAGCACAATATAACAGGGAATCAAGTTGAGATGAAGTTGGTAGATTTCTTTAATATTGCTAAAAAAAGAAACTAGCCTGATTTTTAACAGAGCTCCTTTCTCCAGTATACTCACTTATGGGGGTTGATTTATCAAAGGCAAATAGGCAGTTAACTTTGGAAGGGAATTAAGCTTAGTAAATGTGGTTAAAATTCACTTTGCAAAAAATACCCAATCACATGCAAGGAAAATAAAAAGTACATGATTGGATAATGGAAGTCAGCAGCACTTCACCTAATTTACTAAGCTATGGGAAAATTTGCTTGCAAAGTGAAAAGCCTATTAGCCTTTAGTAAATCAATCCTATGGTCTCCTATCTTTGGAACTTTTGCCTTACACCTTCTTTTAAACATTGCAAAAGCCCCTCTACATGTAAACATAATGGAGTAATAGATGCACTGGAATCTATTTCATTTCCTTTAGCTGTATTTGTAGATAAGCCCAACCTAACATTACTTGCTGGATAACTCATATGCTCCAAACAAATCTGAAGCTCTCTGCTGATCCATTGCTATTCTGCAATACACTGAGAAAACCTAAAGCATAAGATCCATGTTAGTCCAGAGTCGACTTTCAAAAATAATAACATCATATATTTTAAAATATAAACAGTAAATCATCAATGCAGAACTTAACATATTACAATAAATGTCACACATTTCACTACAGTACATTAGGAATTAAAGGAGAACTATGGGGTAAACTAGTTCTCTTTTATGGTGACAAATAGCACCTTGCGCCAAACCCTGTGTAGCTGCAAGCACTATAAGAAGTGTTAACCTCTGAATATATCAAATTATAATGAATGTGCTGCACTTCATCTAGAACAATACTTAAACAAATCTCTATAGTAAATATGTGCTTAAATAATACAAGCAATTTTGATTGCATGTATTATTTAAGCACATATTTACTATAGAGATTTGTTTATGTATTGTTCTAGATGAAGCACAGCACATTCATTACAATTTGATATAATTCTCTTTTATGGTATGGAGTCAACTTTTTATCCCATAGTTCTCTTTAAGGTCACGGGAGGACATTTACTTACCTTCTTCAGTGACTCAAAGCTCAGTATATAGCGGTCCATTGCCTGCTATATACTGAGAGCGCCGCAGCTGGGACGGATCCCGACAATACTGTTGAGATCCACCCAGCTGGCTGATTAAGAGCATGCTCTTCTCAGTTTCAATGTCACACGTCGGCTATAACTATGAGGATCAGTGTAAATCACTCACCTCATAGTTCTCCTATAATGAAAAACCACATATATCTATACATAGACATTAGTTCAATTTAAAGAGTTGTTCATTGTGGGTAAAACCATGTAATTGAATTCAACTTTTATAAGCAGAAAACCAGTGTTCAGAAATAAGAATGTGCCACCGAGTATGGCAAAACTCCCTCCACTTGATCTCTTGTACAGGTAATTTCTCTGATAACATATCTTTTGAGCAGGTTATAGGTATTCATGCATGCAGTGTTATACATGTATTTCAACATACCAGTACCAAGTATTCTTTCTATTTTTATGCTGGAGTTATCCAATTCTTTGGCAAACAAGTGAACAGCTTGCATGGGGTCCTCACACGTGTCTGGATCTATGTAAGTTCTTCTTGTTGGTATTTTGACTGCAATCAGAAATATTGAAAAAAAATAGCATGAATAATGAGTGACCCTATAATGGGAGTACTTTGCATAAGGTTCAAAAAAGATTATATTATAATCAAAGGTTAAAGGCTCAGATTACCATTACTTAATGTATTGAACTATCAGTACAAGTATGGTAATGGAGTTATTTTGCAATAGACAAAACTTTCAAAGTATGATTTATGTTTATGCTAACTCCAGGTATGGGATGCAATCCAGAAAACATTTATGCTTTCTATTTACCTCGACGTAACATAGTCCAAATCATATATTTGTTCCACAAATATAAGATTTTAAAGAAATCACTCACCGCAAAAGACATTGTTATTTTTTGGCAAACTAAAAGGTACAGTACATTTGAATTATACATTTAATTATTCTTTTGCTAATTACAAATGAAACATGCATTTATGACTGAATTACCCTCCTCTATAGTAAGCGTTCATAAAGATTTACAGTGTTTTATTTACATTCGGCTCCACCAAATTAGACAGACTTCTAGAAACTTGCAAACCCAATATGAGTGATTAGCAGATGTTTGTGGAACCTTAAATAAAATTGGTGATATTGAATCAAGGCACATATATTCAATACAACTTCCTTTTTATTTACTCCAGTCTGAATGAAGACTATCAACTTCACTAACTGCCAAAAGTGTGTTATCCATATACAGTAAACTCCCCGTTATCTGGCATCCATGGGGGTTAGTAGATTCTAGATAAATGTAGTTTCTGGTTGCATGAGAGTTACAATTAAAAATAGGTCTAACTAATACCCCATACTATATCATACCATAACATAAACTCTGTATTGACTTCATATTAATATTGAAATGCAGTAATCAAAAGCAAATTAAGACAAATAGACACACTTAAGACAAAAAGACACATGATCATTTCCAGGATAGTAAATGCCACAGATCAGCAAAACAGTGAGTACACAGGGGATTTTTTTCTGGTTAGATGAGAGTTTTGGTTAGTTGAATACCGGATAACTGAAAGTGTACAGTAGTATGGTCCAGTGGGATTTCACCATACATTTCACCCTGCTATCATTTTGCAAGTTTTACTAGAAGATGATTTAATTAAAAAATACAATATGTCTATTTTCAACATTTATGGTAATTGAGGAATCTTGAAATTGAAACTGAAATGTAATCATTCATAAATCAAGAAGTCAAATTATATACAATGACAAGACAATGATCCAAATCATATCTTAAAGTCAGCCATGAATCACTTACACAATATCACTTATCACAATAAACAAAAAGATTAGGGTTTCGAATGGTCCTCAGAGCCCCAGAACTTAAATAATATTGAAAATTGGTGGGTAGATCCCAAACATGCTGTGCTTGTAAGACAACAGTACAAATATTATTGCTCTAAAAATGTTCCAAAAGAAAGGTTGGTAAAAATTCCAAATGCAAAAATAAAAAGACTGTTAGCTGGCTGTGAGAAATGTTTAAAAGCTGTGATTTCTGTGAATGGGCTTTTATCACGTAACCTTTGCACATGCCATGTTTTATTTTTCAAGTCTGTTAAATTCCGCAAATACATTGTAATTGTACATTAAAGTTTGCAAAAAGGTTGTGCCTTGCAAAGGTTGTGTTAACTTCTCACTGAGGAACATCAACAGAACATGTCATTAGAAAAAAGGGTTCCCAAACCATTATGTATAACTATGTACAATATTAGTACATCATTTCTACAAATATAAGAAATCAAGGTTACGAGAGTAGTAGGATTATGGAACTTTAGAAGGAGCAAAAAATAGAAAACATGTCAATTCATAAAATGCTAAAAACTAAATATGAAATAAAAAATAAACATTTTAGTCAGAATCGGAAACATATGAATTAACATATCAAAGGCTAAACTGATTGCTATTAATTTGAAGTTAAATCTTAAAATGTTTCCATCATCTAATGATTACATCACTACTAACATAGGGGTCCAACACTCCCAGCAATGGTAGATGCTGAAGTGTCTTACAGAGGGAGAAGTGCTGGAGCAGAGTAGAGATAGGAGAAAAGGGTCACTGCAGAGGTGAGTATTATGGATCTTTTATTGCATAGTATTTTTAGAGACTGAACAGGTCTCTTTAAACTGCAAATTGCCCTGATGGCAAAATCAATGTAGGAATCTAAAAAGGAATTGGATGACTTGTAACCACAAGTATCCCCACTTAACAACATACAAAAAATGAACCTGACTACTGTGGTAGGGTAAGTAAAGAATATCACTCCACCCCATACAAGAGATAAATGTAACTAAAAGTGCACAGGGATATTTGCTTATCTTCTTGAGGCATGAAAGCTTGATAACAAATGAATTGCTTTTTGTTCTGCAACTTTTTATCTGATTTTTATCCTACCTATATATGTTTAATATGAGAAGGGGTAGTATTTATATGAAGAGAATTAATGGTAAAAAGACATATGGTAAAAAGACATATCTGAAATAAGATAAACAATAATTATGTCACCGTAAACAGAATTCTACTCCATCTTTCTTCTATTGATAAAAATATGTTTAAGTCCACGTAGATTAGCAATAATCTACCTACAAATAGATTTTGTTGGGTGATTTTCACCTCAGAGGAAACATGGCTTAAATGAGTGGGGCAGCTGCCCAAGGCAGCATTATAACTAGGCAAAACTGTCAGAAAGATATTCCTGTCATTTTCAGTACTAACCTTAATACTGTATATAGGCTGCCTAGACTACATCTCCCTTTTTAAATACAAAAAAGTTTTTTTCTCAGCAGTGTTTTCTTTTACTTGGGATAACATACACTATAAATGTACCTTACCAAACAGCATTATTCCTACAAATGTTTGCAAACTGCAAAATGAAGACAAAAAAAACTGGAGAAATAAAAAAGAAAATTCAAACCCATAAAGTCCTTCTTGATAAAGGTGTGTGCGGTAATTTTTATCTTTGCTTAAGATCCCTTTAAAAGTTTCACTTGCTCATACACCTCAAGTGCTGTTCAATTATAATTAGTGTTTAATAGGACAAAGTGTAGTGCTGGTTCTGTGTAAAGTAGAATTTGGTCCAAACTCTGCCTGTTTGACACTGGGCAAATGGGTGAAATAAATGGGGCGTTTGCACACCCACTGAGCTGAACCTCACCTGCAGCAGGAATTCATATTTATCAGCTATTTTACTATCACTGCTAAATGTGACAGCTTCCCAATGAGGTATACTGGTTTCTAGAAGCCAGTGGTCCCTGGTATCCTAGCAACCAGTGACGCATGCCTGACCCAATTCAGCTGCCAGGTGGCAGATTCCACAGGCAACAGCTTTGGAAAATGGGCAGAGATGCTTACTGACATTATTGACTGTATATGGCCATGGCTGGTTCATAGGAATCTGCCCACTGCTACCCACAAGGAAGATGGACCTGATGGGGAACTAGTCTCTCAGCTCCCCATCTGTCTCCACCCACTGTCAATCATGAATGTTATTGGATGCTAGGATGCTGTTGGGTGTTTAGCCAACAGCTTCCTAGAAACCAATGACAGTGGGTAGAGTCTAAGATGGAAGATGAGAGACTAGTGTTTTATCAGCTCTGCCTTCCTTGTGATTGACAAAAGATGTTGATGGGGCAGGTTCCTGTAGATCTGTGTGCATCTGGCAGTTTCCTGGAAACCAATGACAGCGGGCAGAGCCTGATGGGGGAGCTGAGAGACTGGTAACCCATAAGGCCTGCTTTCCTTGTGATTGACAACAGACATATCCCCATCTCCATCATTTTCTTTTATTTTGGGTCACTTTTTCAAAATCCGTGGTCAAGAGAGTCTTCTCTCTTAATCTCTGCAGGTCTTTCCCACATCTTTCCTATACATGTCACTGCATACCCTTAGGTCTTGAAGACTGCAATGAGGAGGGATGACACAGTTCAGTCCACAAAAATGCTGTGTGTTGTCAGCCCACCTTAGGAAATTAAGAGCTGAGTCAATCTTATGCAGATCAAAGGGTATTTTTCTTTATTCACAGTGTCTTTAAAGGGAAAAATAACCATAGAGAAATTGCAAAGATTTACTGCACAAACACACACACATAAATATACTGTATAAATATACTGTAAATATACATATATATATATATA